TTGGCTCCTTTGTCAAAGATGAGGTGGCTGAGCATGTCTGGAGTTGTTTCTGCATCTTCTAATCTGTTCCACTGATCCTCAGGTCTGTTTCTTTGCCAGTACCATGCTGATTTTATCACAACAGCTTTGTAGTATAGTTTCAAGTTGGAGATTGTGATACCCCCAGCCATGTCTCTGTTGCTTAGAATTGCCCCCTCCCAAAATATATATATATTTTGGTACCGGGGATTGAACTCGAGTCCTTCCACTTGCGAGGGAGGTGGCAAAACCACTGAGCTAAATTCTAAATTCCTGGCCCAGGACCTACTTATTTAAAGTAAATTTTGGTCTCTGCCCCTTGCTTCTATTGTAACAGCCTCACTGTATTTCCTTTCTCCAGTTTCATTTCACCTTCCCTCCCTCAATATATTTTATAAAAATATAACAGTAGCTACCAGTAAGTACTGGTAGGAATTTAATATGATTACAACATCATATAACAGTTCTAAAAATCATCTTCTGGGCTGGGGATTTAGTTCTGTGGTTCCAGCGCCTGCCTCTCAAGCGCAAGGTCCCGAGTTCGATCCCCAGTACCAAAAAAAAAAAATCTCCCTTTAACATCCTTTCTGAACACACAAAGGATAGTATTTGGCCCATCACAGTTCTAGAAATTTAAGTTATGCCCAACAGGAAATTAATAAATCCTAGTGCATACAGAATGGGCCCCTGTAAACATTAAGATGATGGAGAAACTAAGTAGGTTGATAAAAACCTTTAGTATAAAAAGTCTCAAGCCAGACATGGTGCCTCAGGCGTATAATCTCATCACTCAGGAGGATGATGCAGGAGAATCACCATGAGTTTGAGGCCAGCCTGGGTTAATAGTGTAACCCTGTTTCAAATAAATAAAGTCTCAAGACACTGAAACAGGAAGTCTAAATTGTTAAAGAGTGGTTGCCTCGGGGCAGGGGGTTTAGCTCAGTGGTTTTTGCCGCCTGCTGCACAAGCACAAGGACCAGAGTTCAATCCCCAGTACCAAAAAAAAAAAAAAAAAGAGTGGTTGCCTCTGAAAATTGAGTATAAGTGAGTTTTTGGGGGAAGAAAATGGTAAATATGGGAACACCAGTAACATATCCAGGCCACTTATGGATCTTAGTGACAAAGCAGACATCATTTAAATAGTTTTTTTTATTATGAAATAGTTTAAATAGAAGATACAGAGAATAAGAATCACCCATACACTCACAATCAGCTTTATCTAATTGGAAGAAATGGCTATCCTTACTTATTTTTTAAAGAAATAAATATTTTTCCTTTGCATCCATCCCTCAATCTCATTTTTCTTCCCCTCTAGAGATCACCACTGTTATGGTTTTTATGGTTACTTCCATGAATGCCTTTATCTTCTTCCTATATAGTATTTAGCCATAGAAAATACACATAATATACATTTGCATATTTTCAAGCTTTATATAAATGAGATAACTATATCATACAAAATATTCTCTAGTTCAATTTCAGTAATACTATTTTGGAGACTTATCCATGATGATAGAAGTATCTCTAATTTTTCATTTTAATGTGCATTCTAACATATTCACCCTAATGGTTAGATTGCTTCCAAGTTTTCATTCTTACAGTGCTGCAATAGACCTTCATGTACATGTCCATGAAACATGAGCAACTCTGTAGAGGTTTAAGTGGAACTGCTGGATCAGAGTACTCACATCCTCATCTTCAGTAGATATTGCCTAATTATTCTAAGTATAGCCACTTCCAATAACATTGTATGAATGTTCCCATTGCTCTACATCTTTCCAGGAATTGACACTGTGATACTTTTGCCAATGTAGTCATTTTGAAATAGTTCATTGTAATTTTATTTTGTATGTTCCCTACTGCTAGTGTTGTATAGTCGATTTTTTTTTTTTTTTTGGTACCAGGGATCAAACTCAGGTCCTTGTGCTTTAGTCAATTTTTCTAATATGCCCAAATCTACCTTTTCTCTAATTTATCAACCATCATCAGAAGTTTTAACAAATATATTAGATTCCATAATTCTCTTGTTGCTTTTAAGAATTCACACTTCAGAGATGAATCTCTGAGCAACTTATGAAATTAAAGGACAAAAATGTACATTGAGGAATTTTGGCCAAATTGCAGGGAATTTGTGAATTAGGAAGAACTGTCAACTCCATTGTCTTGTGTCTCTACAGCACAGGCTATATTACATACCTCAACTTACTTTCTTGTTATTCTTCAGTTTTCTGGATTTAGAAAATTGATGGTTTTATATTTAAGTGTTAATTTTTTTTCCACCTCTAGAATATAACTCTACGAGAACATGGCTTTTGTGTTGCTCATTGTTATCTCCTCACACTCAGTGTCTAGCAAATAGCAGCTACTCAGTATTTACTATAGTTTTCCTCCTTCAATTTTTTTTTTTTTTTTTGGTACTGGGGATCTAACTCAGGACCTTGCGCTTCGGAGGCAGGCGCAGTGCCACTGAGCTAGATCCCCAGTCCCCTCAATTCTTTTTTGATTTCAACTTTGTAGCCACTGGATAAAACTTAAGACACTTCACATTTTCTTCTATACATAATATTTACATGTTTTTAAAAATCACCTGAATGCATCCATGTAAGTACCTAGGTTTGGTGCCTTTTAATGGGACCTATGATTTCTGTTTGTTGGGGTTTTTTCCTTTTCTTTTTTTTTCTCTCCTTCTAGTTGTAATCATTGATTTCCTTGATCTAAATATAAGTTGGCATTCTTCCTAGTGAATCCTATTTTTAAAAATTTTGATTGCTCTAATACATTCTCTTTAAAAACTTTGTAAAAGTATTGTAGTTCTACTATCTGTGTTTATATTGATTATTCACTCAGAGTACAGACTCTCACTTATATTCTAAAATCTTTGCATTTTCCCAATTCTGATCTGGTGTTTCCCGAAGATGGTCTACTTTGTCCACTAACACATCTTGTTTTAGCTGGGAGGAGTGAGTATATGCTAAGTGTGTAGTACCATGCCTAGAGTGTAGTAGATAATCAGTGTAATAGAAATATTATTTATTGACTATCTGCTCTAGATGACATACTATGTACTTTACATGCAATTTTCTCATGTAATATGCATCAACTTACAACAGACACTATTTCATTTATTAGTCACATTTTTATAATATAGTATCTTTTATTATCTCTATTTTAAGAATTAAAACCCTGAGGTTTAGAGAAGTTGTTCAGTTACATGATGTCATAGTAGAGCTACGATTTTCCAGAATCTAAGGTCTTAGTCCTGGGAAGTGTCTAGTGCCTAGAGGAGGCTAGAATAAAATAAGGCTGAATGGTATGTAAAACTAAATAATGGAGAGCCTCATAGACAATTTCAAAGGCTGTAAATACTAATCCAAGAATAATAGCAAGCAAAAAAAGTTTTAACTGGACATAGTGATATGTTAATTTTTTTTTTTTACTTTAAAAAGATGTTTGGGTGCACTGCGGGAGATGGATTTAAGGGTAGGAAAAATGGATACAGGAAGACCTGTTAGAAAGCTATAATAGTGATCTTGGTGAGATGAATCTTAGCTTTAAGGTGACAACACTAAAGAGTGACAAAAGTACATAAATTTCAGAAATATTTGGGAGATGGGATTTACAGGACTTGGTGGTTGGCTGGATTTGGTGGTGAGAGTGACTCCCCAATGTGAATTCTCTGATGATGAGCAAGATGTGCATGTTGCCTGAAGGTTTTCTTGCATTCTTTACATTCATAGGGTCTTTCTCCAGTGTGAATTCTCTGATGTTGGGCAAGGGATCCACAGTAACTAAAAGCCTTCCCACAAACATTACATTCATAAGGTTTTTCTCCAGTATGGACTCTCTGGTGTTGAGTAAGGGATGAGTCATTGCTAAAAGCCTTCCCGCATTTTATACATTCATAAGGTTTCTCTCCAGTATGAACTCTTTGATGTTGAGCAAGATAGGCAATCTGGCTGAAGGCCTTCCTACATTCCTGGCATTTATAAGGTTTTTCTCCAGTATGTATTCTCTGATGTTGAGCAAGATGTGAATTCTGGCTGAAGGTCTTCCCACATTCTTTACATTCATAGGGTCTTTCTCCAGTATGAATTCTGTGATGTACAGTAAGGTATGCACGAAGGCTGAATGCTTTCCCACAGACGTTACATTCATAAGGTTTTTCTCCAGTATGTACTCGCTGGTGTTGAGCAATAGATGATCTATTGCTAAATGCTTTCCCACATTCAATACATTCATAGGGTTTCTCTCCAGTATGAACTCTCTGATGTTGAGCAAGGTAGGCAAACTGGCTGAAGGCTTTCCTACATACCTTACATTCATAAGGTTTTTCTCCGGTATGAACTCTCAGATGTTGAACTAGATGTGCGTTCTGACTGAAGGCTTTCCTACATTCCTTACATTCATAGGGTTTTTCTCCAGTATGAATCCTGTGATGCTGAACAAGGTTTGATCTCTGGCTGAAAGCTTTTCCACATTCTACACATTTATAAGGTTTCTCTCCAGTATGAATTCTTTGATGAAGAGTAAGGGATGAGCTCTGGCTGAATACTTTTTCACAATCATTACATTTTAAAAGCCTTTTCTCTGCATAGACGTTTTTGGGTTTAATAGTCATTAAATTTGCTTTAAAGATTTTCTTATGTGTGTCATGTTTATATACTTTCTCCTCTTTGGGAATTATCTGTTGTACATGAAGCAGTGTGTTCTGGCAGAAACTTTTCCAAGATTTATTATATTCTAGATATCTTTTTTCAACAAAGGCTTCTGTATAAAACATTGTCTCTTCCTTAAAACATGCCTTTTGATTTCCAGGTTGCCTCTCAAAACTGTCCTCGCATTTCCAGTCTTTTCTCAAAGTGTAGTACTTAAGGTCACAGCTTGTAAATTTTTCCATTATCTTCTGGGATGATTGTTCTTCATAAAGTTCCTGCTTTGGAGTTAATTCTTCAGTATCACAAATAGATTTCCAACCTGAAAAATAATAAAAAGAGAAAATGTCTCCTCTGTTGTACGCCAGAAAGTACATTTGGAAAAGTATATTGTAAAGTTAAGCATGTTAATTTAATAGCAAGTAAAACCTCAAGGTACTTTTATAGTACTGAAGTATACAAGAAGAAAAACTAAAAATAGATCATATAGAAACTTTAAGAATGATTATAATTATAATAAAATCAAGAAGGAAAATCTCAGGGCAAGAAGGTATTATAGATATGGTTGTCCCCCATTATAATTTTAGACCTGTCTTAATAATACAGTTACTGAAATAATCTCTGTTCTTATACCTGCATCATTCAAGAATAGTTATTGATCAAATACTTACCATGTACCAGTACCAGGTACTGTTCTAGATGCTTTCAATACCATAAAACAAAGGTCCTTAGCTTCATGGACCTTATTTTCTTAGACAGAAAGCAAGTATAAATTTTATTGTATACTAAAATACACTAAATGCTAAGGAAAAAGGAAACCATGGTCGGGAGTGCTGGTGAAGTCAAAGGCAAAACTCAATAAGGTAACAGTTGAGCAAAAATTTGAAGGAACTGAAGAAGTTAGGCACCCAGATTTTTAGAAAAAAGTATTAAGGGTAAAAGAAACAGCTTGTAAAAAGACTCAAAAGTAGACCAATGTTTAATATGTTTCAGAAATAGTAAGAAGGTCAGTGCGGTTACAAAGGAGTGAGTAGTAGGAGATGAAATCAAGTTTTATAGGCCTTCCAATGAATTTGGGTTTTATTCTGTGAAAGGATAGAGGACAATTAAAGTGTTTCAAGTAGAAAAATAGTATCTGGTTGCTATTTTATAAAAAATACTGCAAGGTAGAAAGCAAGAAGAAAAGGAGACAAATTATTATAGTAATCCTGGTGAGAGTTGACCAAAGTAGTTACACAGATTTTTGTTTTATTTTTTGAACTACATATACATGCTAATATATATTTATGTCTGTTATTTAATAATGATGATCTAATCATATATCCTTTTCTTTACCAAAATTTTTTCTTAGGAAATTGCACAAGGACATAAAAGATTAGGTAGAAGCAATGGAGGCATGACCTGAGAAGTAGGGTTGATAGAGATGTTTACAATGATACCAAATTAGTTCTTCCTTTCACCTTAATGTTTCCTATGTCAATTGGAAAATCCTTCTCATACTACAAATCTAAACACCTACTCTCTTCTCCCCAGTGTTTTCTAGCTCCTACTCCATTTTGTTAAAGGTCATCATCTTACCAGTTTCCCAGACTCCTCTGCTTCTTTTTCTCTTCAGCATGCTCTTCATATAAGCCATTTTACACTTATATTGTATCTATGCTACTAGTCTATTAATTGTTTGATTATGTGTATATATACATAACACCTTAGCACCTGGGAGGGGAGAGAGTTACCAGGGAGTGGTGTTGAGAGTACCCTGTGTAAAGTACAAATTCAATAATGATGATGTTGATTAAAGAAATAAATGGACAAACTGACCATTCAGAGAAAAAGGAGGCAGATGGAGATATACTACTACTACGACGACGACAACGACGACTACTACTAGTGGCTAACAGCTATTCATACTAGTTCATACTATAAGATAGAACTGCTCACAGCACTGTAAAAGTATTATTTCATTTTAGAAATGACAAAACAAAAGCACAGAGAGGACTTTCCTAAAGTTTCACTGCATGTAAGTGTCAGGCAAGATTTAAACCTGGTACTTCATTTACAGCTGGCTCAAAAGTTTATTAAATCAGGAAAAGAGTTTTTAAAGACCAGAAGAGGATTGTGAAATTGAGAGAGGACAGGATTCAGAGAATAGATAAATAAGTTATTAGAAAGGAGAGGGCAAAGTATGAGCAGAGAGCATCCTAAAAGACCCCACATTTCTGTCAAGCTCTAGAATGTTTGAGAACATGTCACAAACAGGAAAGAAGAGGTGATTTCTTGGAGTCAAGCTGAGCTGTCACCTGCAAAGATTTTTGCCTGCCTATTTCCTCTTCACTCACCTGAGTCCAAGCCATTTGTCAGCTCTCTCTTCACCATCCATGGCTCTTTTCCTTGTTCCAACAATAATATCACACTTGGCTTAGAAAAGCAAAGACCTGCATATATGAAAAGCAACAGAATTTGGTCATGCTGTAGACAGCCAAGAACTCATTCAATTCTTTGATCAGCAGGGAAGAGTAGCTTACAGTAAGTCAAAGAAAACTGTGTAAAGGATATGTTCTAGAAGGAGAGGGAAAATAAAGCTTTAGGGATAGTTCAGTAATAAACCTATCTACTGCTAACTCCACAAATACTAAACCATTTGTTTGGCACATGCAGCAGACACAGAGCCAAGCTTTGCAAATGCCATCCAAAAAGTCATAATGGGGGCCAGGGATTTAGCTCAGTGGCACTGCACCTGCCTCACAAGTGCAAGGTCCTGAGTTCAATCCCCAGTACTGCAAAAAAATACAAATACGAAAAAGATAAGCAAAAAGTCATAATGGTGGTAACAAAGGGTGCCTTAGGAGTAGAAGTCCAATTTTGCAAGAGGAAAAAATCCTTACCCAGTGATACCAAGATCCTATAATTCTCCAACATCACATTACTGTACAAATGCCTTTGAGAAGAATCCAGACAATCCCACTCCTCTTGGGAGAAGTCTATAGACACATCTCCGAAGGTCACTAACTCCTGAAATGAAATAAATGAAATGAAATAACCTCTTTCCTTATTCTGCTCACCTCATTTACTCTGCTCCAGGCATACTGAGCTATCTCTGGTATTACAGCCTTAAATATGCCAACCATAGGGCCAGGGATTTAGCTCAGTGGTTTCGCCACCTGCTGCGCAAGCACAAGGACCCGAGTTCGATGCCCAGTACCAAAAAACAACAACAACAAAAAATATGCCAACCATATTTCCTCTCAGGGCCTTGTACTTCCCCGATCACTGTGTATAAAAAAAGCAATGCTCCTATCACAATTCTTATTCTCTTAACCCTGCTTTATTTTTCTCCATAGCACTTATTTTGTTATTTATTGTTGTCCTCCTTCCCCCATTAAAAAGTAAGTTCCATTAAGGCAGAATGTTTTTGCTTTGGTCACTGCTATATTCCTAATTACGAAACAGTATCTGGTACACATGGGGTATTCAAATATTCACTAAATAAATTGAGTGAATGAATGTTTGAAAATTTCAAGAAGGTATTTGAGTGTCATGCTCTATTTCTAAATGTTCCCCCAAGAACCTCCTGTGCTCATAGACAAGGCTTTTGGAAGGTGTCTGGATTATGGGGGCTTACAGCTAGCTTGGTGCTAGGAGGCAGGGTCTGGTTGGAAGAGGCAGGTCACTGGGGGGCCTGGGAAGGATTATATCTCCTTCCCCAGGTCCGCCCTTCTCTCTCTCTGCTTTCTGTTGGCCATAAGGTGAGCAGCTTTTCTTCTGCCATGCCCTTCTGCCATGCTGTCCTACCTTGGAGCCAGCCAAATATGGACTATAATAAACCTCTTCTCCTTTAAGTTGCAGGTGTTGGGTATTTTGTCCCGTGATGAGAAAGTGACTAAGACAAAGTGGATTTAAAAATAACACCAGAAGGTACTTGAGCAAATCATCAATTCCTAATGCATAGCTCTTAAATCTTTGTGTAAAGAAGTGGGCATTCTACTCAGAGTTTTGCTTCTGCCTATAGGGGATGGGTTATTAAAAACCTGGAGCTATGCTGTGATGCAACAGGATTCCAAGTTTTATCGCATAATTACTTGCTGATGAAATAAACATGTTTTTATGTGTGTACTTTTAATTAATTTTTTTTACAAACGTAAAAGATGCAAATCTGTCAAGGTAATAAAAAGATATGACTTTTTTAAGGGACATATTTTTTTTTTCTTTTTTGGTACCTTGCACTTGCTAGGCAGGCAGTATACCACTGAGCTACATCCCCAGCACTTTTTTTTTTGGTACCAGGGATCAAACTCGGGTCCTTGCGCTTGCGCAGCAGGCGGCGAAACCACTGAGCTAAATCCCCGGCTACTTTTTTTTTTTTTTTACATTTGATATAATTGTGTGTGTGTGTGCGTGCGTGCGTGTGTGTGTGTGTGTGTGTGTGTGGTGTTGGGGCAGGGCCTTGAACACCCTGCACAAGCTATTTACCACTGAGGTACATGTCTAGCCCCAATTTTGTCTCCTTTCAAGGAACTATCTCAGCCAGCCATGGTGGTACCTGCCTGTAATCCAAACACTCTTGGAGGCAAAGGCAGGAGCTCTGAAAGTTTGAGCCTAGCCTTAGAAACTTAGAGCAACCCTGTCTCAAAATTTATAGCTAAGTACAAAAGCCCTGGGTTCAATACCAAAAAAAGAAAAGAAAACCAACAACAAAAAAACAAACAGAAGAAGAAATAAAGAAAGAAGAACTGTCTCTACAGAAACAAAAGTCTTCAAGAGTTTTTCAACATTCAGTAACATTTTTTCTTATTTAATTATATGAAGTAATATATGAATTACTCCCTTTCTGTTCCTCCTAACAGTCTAGTTGGTTGGTATGGTATGTATGCTTCTCCAAATGTTTTCCTTAACTTATATAAATATATATAATAAATGTATAAATATGTATGATGAACTATGAAAACATTTTCACTGATTCTTTGATTTAAGTTAATTTATACAATCAACAAAACCAATCATGATGTCAATATAAGGAGCTCAAATTCTAATCTTTAAATATTTGACTCCTAAGAAGGAATGATAGTATAGTTAGCCCTCTAGCCAGAAGTGATAGTGTACTCCTGTAATCCCAGCACTCTGGGAGGCTGAGGCAGAAGGATCACAAGTTTGAGCCCAGCCTGGGCAAAACCCTGTCTTAAAATAAAAAATGAAAAGGTCTGGGGATATGATTCAGTGTGAAGGTCCTGGGTTCAATGCTCAGTACTGCGAAAACAAATTTATTCAGAACCTCCATATTTGCAGATTCTGCATTTGCAGATTCAATCAACTATGATCAAAATATTTGGGGAAAAATTGTGTCGCTACTGGAAATATATGGACATTTCTTTTCTTGTCACTACTCCCTAAACAATACAGGATTACAGTTATTTACATAGCATTTACCTTTTATTAAGTATTATAAGTAGTAGATGATTTAAAGTATACAGGAGAATATGGGTACGTTACACAGAAATAGCATACCATTTTATATAAAGGACTTGCACATATTTGGATTTTGGTGTTGGCAGGGGTCCTGGAACCAGTCCTGGAGGGATACTGAAAGACAACTGTACTTGGTTTCAAAATCCATTCATAACTATCATCAAAATAGTCTGAAGTAAAGCGACAGTTCCCTTCACCATTTGCACTTACAGAAACATGGCTTCCAGCTAAGAAACATGGCTTCACCTGATGCCCTGTCATGTGACATCCTTTGTCTCACACCAAATACATCAATGTATTTCCCACATTCCATGTATCACAGCACCTGGAGGTGAAGCAGGTGACCTCTCTGCTCCTCCTGTACCCAGAGTATTTTCTCCTTCCTCCTCCCCAAAAGACACTTAGTTTTAAATCTCATGAAATCAAGTATATCAATTACTATCCCTCCTTATTTTAGTTATCTACCAATTCCTGGTAGATACCAATTCTATCATCCCTTGAATACTTCAGCCTCTGGCTATCTCTCCAATGATGTTTTAAAAAAAATTTTATTAGTACATGTTTATAGTACATAATGATGAATTCCTCTTAAAGAGTTGGTATATGTATATAATGCATCTCAATTCTTTTTTCATCCCCTTCACTTCTCTTCCTACCCTCTCCTTCCATCTCTTGTACCCCTTCCCATTAAAAAAAAAGATTCATCGGGGGGGGGGGGGTGGCAGGGATTTAGCTCAGTGGTTCCAGCACCTGCCGCATAAGCACAAGGTCTTCAGTTCAATCCCTGGTACCAAAAAAACAAAAAACAAAAAAAAAGATTTATCTTCCTATTTCCTATCATGTATCTTTTATTTTACTCTTTATTAATATTTTGGTTTCTTATATAACAGAAGCCATTTGATATTTAAATTTGCATGTCTGATTTATTTCACTTATGGTCTCAAGGTGCATCCATTTCCTACAAATGACTCAAAAATTTATCCTTTATGGCAGAATAGTATTCTATTGTGTATAAATATCACATTGTCTTTATCCATTCACCTGTTGATGGACATATAGGCCATTGTTCTTATCATAATCTTTGGCCACTTCAATATCCCTAACTTGGTCTGTCAGTCCTCTGACCATCTCCCCTCACCAACAACAATCTTGTCTTCCACACTTCCACAGCATGATCCAGACGTTGTTATTCTGAATAAGTCCCAAAGCCTCCATAATCTTAATTAGCACACTCAGACTTCCCCTCCTATATTTCAACTCTGACACCCCAATAGGGATAATTCTTTGACCCCACCAGAACTTACAGTTCATTGATCTTACCACTGTCATGTTCCTTTCCCCTACATTCTCTCATTTCCTAGCACAACTATTAGTAATAATTACTCCCTGCATATGCCCTCAACTTCCTTGCTCTTCTGTCACTTAAGTGTACTCCTGTGATTAAACTCCATGTTTCAGCTTATTCTTTTATTTTTTTTTTCTTCAGTACTGGGGATCAAACTTGGGACCTCGCACTTATGAGGAAAGCAGTGGAACCACTGAGCTAAATCCCCGGCTATCTCAGCTTATTCTGTGCCTGCATCTTGCAGAGCTGGAGACAATCACACCACCTATGCTAGTCTCTTTTCTTCTCACTTTCTTTCTCTCTCTCTCTCTATCTATCTATCTATCTCGGAATGGAACCTAGAGCCTTATATGTGCTAGGCAAGTGTTGTACCACTGACCTACATGTCCAGCCCTAATCAAAATTTCTCATTACTCACCTCAAGTAGGCCAAAATGCTATTTCAATCACAAATTTTCTTACAACATGCATTCCCTTACTCTTCTAAATGACCACTTAATATATTCCACTGTCTTCAAATCTTCAATACCACCTCCTCTATCCTTACTCTCATATTACCCTGAGCTGTTTCACTAAAAAAAAGTCATTTGAAAAGAATTTCTACAAACTCCCACCACAACATCTATACATCTATCTCCATCTTTGCCTATCTTCTCTAACTTGCCTCTATTATTATAAACGAACAGCTCACTTTCTGAGCAAAGGCTGACCTCTCAGATCTTCTCACTTACTCAAGCACTGTTTTATCAATTCCCTCCTCTCTCTTCATCATCATCTTCTTCCTCTTTCTACAGAATCTTTACTATCAGCCAAGGGACATATACCCACGATATTAGTCAGTTTTCTGTCACTGTGACAAAATACCTGAGATAATCAGCTTATGAAGTGTAAAACTTTGGTTTTAGACCATGTTTGCTTGGCACATTTGTTTTGGGGCCTGGGAGGGCCTGTGGTGGCATAGTACATAATGGTAGGGCTGCGTAACAGAGAATTGCTCACTTCATGACAACCAGGATGAAAAGAGAAACAGGAAGATGCTGGGGTCCCAATGTCCCCCAGAAGGTTCCACCACCTCCCACAATTGCCACTGACTGTGGATCAAGTGTTCACCATGTAGGCCTTTAGGAGACATTCAAGATCCAAATTATAGTGGCCACCTTTCTTGACAACCACACTTTTTCCTTCACTTACCATCCATTTCTCTCCTACCCTTACAGTTAAATTATTTGAATTGTCTTTGTTGTCTATTATTTCTGTCCATCCTCCATTCCTGTACCAAAGAATGAAACCATATGACTTGTGTTAACAGAATCATTTTGGCTACTTTCTTGAGACTAGACTAAAAGAGGGCAAGAGTGGAGGTAGACAGACAAATTAGGAGAGTACAGTAGTAATCCAAATGAGAAATGATGGTTCAGTACAGAATAGTGGTGGTAGATAAAAATAGTCTGATTCTGGATATATTTTGAAGATGGGACAAAAAAACCCCCAACCTAGTGGGAGATCTTTAGCTTGAGCAACTGAGAGAGAAATGTAAGAGCTAGTGGTTGGTTTCTCTATTTCTATCCTTGTTCCATTCTGTTTATTTTCAATAGCTGTTGTGATCCCAGTAAAAGAACAATCCAATCATGTCACTCTTATACTTCCACACTTCTAATGGCTCATTTTATTTAATTTGAAAGACATTTGCATTTAAGATATGGAGATGCTGATTACACAGATATAAAAGTCAAGTTCAGGAGCACTGTCTGGGTACTTGTTGGTATACAGATAGCATGTCCACCCATAAGTCAAGAAGAGATCACCAAAGTAGTGAATATAGACAGATTAAGGAATAGTACCAAGACTAAACCCTGTGGTAACACAACCCAATGTTAACTAGTCCCTAGTAAATTTTGTTGAATGCATGAATAATGTTTGGGCAGTGAACAGAACGAAAAGGATGCTTTGTATTGTATCCGAGGGAATAGTATGTCAGGAAGAGTGAACAGCAAGTGTAAGACCATACATTAAGAATATATTAAATTCAGCCAGGTGTACTGGTGTACTCCTGTAATCCCAGCACTTTGGGAGGCCGAGGCAGCAGAATCACAAGTTCAAGCCCCGCCTGGGGAATTTAGTGACTTAGCAAGACCCTGTCTCAAAATAAAAAATAATAAAAAGAGGTAGGGATGTAGCTCCATGTGAAGGCCCTGGGTTCAATTTCCAGTACCAAAAAAAAATTATTTAATTCATTACAAGGAAGCCAATATGAACTGACTGAATGAGTTTCACACAGGGTGAGAGAAATTAGATGAGGTCCATAGAGATATTCAGGGACCCGATTATAAGGGCCCTTGCAAGCCATTCTTTCATCCTGAATCAGACAGGAATCTCAGTGGGGAGATTTGAGAAATGACATGATTGACAGAGAAAAGTTTCAGCAAAAGAAAAGTTGATGTCTGCTTGTTTTGAAAAGCAGTAATATATTTCAGGAAAGAGAAAACACCAACTCACCTGGTACATGGTTTTAAGAAGTCCAACAGCCATTCTTTCTTCTTCTGGGCTCTTCTCTTGAGAAATAGCAATGACCTCAGATGACTGAGATGGGGAAGAGAATATGAGAAACTACGCTTTCCTTGCAGCTTCCTGAATTATCAGGTTACTTTTTAGGCTCCTCTTTCTTCCTGTTGCCCCCTTCCCTCCAATAGAGAGAGCAGAATGGAGACCTAGGAATTATCATACAATTTAATCCATGCCCAGCTCATTTACCAATTTATTTTTTTAAAGTAGGTTTTCAAGTTTTATAAAGACTCTGAGGAATGTGATCACTTACATAAAGATACACAGCTAATAGATAACAGCACCAAGATCAAATAAAGGTCTGATCGATTCCAGTCTTTCTTTACAATAGATCAGTGATTCCAAACCTTGGTGGCACACTGACATCACTTGGCTAACTTAAAAATGTGTCATAAATAGGTGTCATAAATCTAAGTCCCTTCACATACCCCGTTTTAAAAACTAGTATCAACCATCGTCTTAACACACGCTACCCTTAAAAGCCATGTGTAAAAATAATCTCAAACAGACACCACCCTCACCCTCAAATCTGAAACAGTATCACAACCAACGGCCTCCACACTATGGTCACAAAGAGGCCGCAGGTACCAGCACAACGGTTGTCGGAGAATACCCACCCACTCCCGGCCCACTCAGGCTCACCCTCTGCGCTACCAAACATCGACTCACTAGCACCCACAGTCACACAGATAAGATGTGGACACGCACATCAGGTGACAGAATCACCCTGTACGGTACCAACCCGTATCTCACCCAGATAGCCACAGAGGGACTGGGTACGAGTGGCCAGGAGATCCACAGCCCAGCCCTCACCAGCAGAATCGAACTGCGGGAAGATCCTGCTCCCTCTCCGGAGGCTCAAGGAAACTCCTCCACTCAGGCCTTAGTGGCTACCCTGAGTTAGAGGAAAACCACCTTTACTGGGGGCCGGAAAGATGAGCTCCGGCTGCCTACGCACCCGGAGGACACAAAGGGGCCGGCGGCCCAGCTCCCGCAGGGACCGCTGGGAAATGTAGTCCCGGCCCAAAAGGCCGAAGCTCAGCGACGTCCGACTGCGCAGGCGCAGCTCCTGTCCTTATCCCTTAGTCCACTCTTTCCACACTGGGCTCTCTGAAGGTGGGCTCCATTTGGATTTCCAAAGAAAAGCTCAAAAGTGCTGATTCCTTTCGACTCTAACTAGGTGGTCTGCGGAACTGAACGCAGTGTCACACTAAACGATCTAGAATTGAAAGGCACAGGCACAAGTGCTCAGCCACCTCCCTTTAGCAACCTGGGCAGAGAATTTAGAGCCTTGGGTTTAGCCACAGAGTGGAGACGGTTTTGTCTCCAACAAAGTGGCGAGTTCCTCGAATTATGGAATTCCTGAAAAAAGGGAGGTAAGAATTAGCATGCGCGTTGTGCCTCCCCCCAGTCTTGCTTCCCAGCCCCAGGAGCTTTTACCCGAGGATGATTACCTTAAAAACCTGAGCGGTTAAGTAGAGGGCTGAGTGTCATCCTTGACTCCTGGTTCCTCTATTTGTGATTTGGTGCTGTTGGGTGTGAATGTTTTGTTTTGTTTTTGTTGTTTTGAGTCTGGGTTTCGCTATGTTGTTCAGGCTGGCCTTGAGCTCACTATTGTAGCCCAGGCTGGCCTTAAACTCGAAGCAATACTCGTGCCTCAGCCTCCTAAGTGCTGGGATTACAGGTGTATGCCACCACGCCCTGCGTGAATGGCTCTTCTTAAAATGGCTCTTAACATTCCTTCAAGGTTCCTTTCCTCCATACATTCAGATACAAAGTCATATCTCCAAGGAAGTCCTTCCTATTCACACACTCTCCTCTGCCTTCTTAATTTGACTCTACACCCTTAGAACACATGGCTTTATATATATTTATTGCTGCCCCACAAGTTTTTGTCCCTTGTGATTTTGTGCACATAGGACTCTGTGTATTTATGTGTCTGAGAGTGTAAGCCTGTAAAACTATGGTGGGGTGAGCATGCTATTTTTTTGTGTGTTTCTGTTGCTGGACAATTGGTCTTACACTCACCCTACATCCAGCCTCTTTCTATCCTGAAAAACAGGGCACGCAGAAGTAAGAAAGCGACAGTACACTCAGAGTGGGGAGTGGGCCTATGAGAAAACTCAAGAGCAAGTTTGACTCACAGTACCCATGTCCCCTATGTTTTGAGGTATTTATTGTGACCTTTTCTGGGTCTCAGGGTCAAGGTGGCACCTAAGGGGACTCTGTCCCATTAAGATGAAAGTATCCACCTTCACATGAGGAGGGATCTTTTTGACTTTTTCTGGGCCTGGACAGAAGCAGTACACTGTAGCTGCCAATGGGGGTGATGTCAAAACTACAATGCTAATGATACTATAATGGCCATGGGGTTCCCCTGAAGCAGTTAGGGCACATGCTTCTCATGCCAGAGGTCAAAGAAGTGTGATAAGAGCAGGAGCATACATTTTAGGCTTATGTCATGATGTTAAGGGAACTTGGTGAGGTAGGACCGAATTTCTCAAGATCATGTCAGCATTTTAAGGAAATATAGTGAGTAGGATACTTTTTGATCTTCAAGAGCCAGAAAGCAACCTGTGTTGTGAGTGTAAGGTCAACATGTCCCCCACATTGTCTTGTCTCTTGCCTCATCACTGTGTATGTGACATATGTGAAGTTAACTGTGGGAATGTGCTATGATAAGCACTGATTTGTGGACAATGGAGTAGGAATATATGCGACTGTGAGGATTAGACTGATTGATTTATGTTCATGTGTGGAATTCTTTCCTGTGGTATATCATTAATAACCACCAACTGTGTCCCAGATGCCATTTGAGGTGCTGGGATGGACACAGAAAATAAACTTTAAAAAGTAGTGGATAGAATAATAAGGTGCTGAAGAGCAACTTCAAGGGGCTTAATGGGTGTGTAATTGAGGAACACTTGGAGATCTGGATGTACATAAGGAAATGAAGAGCACTACAAATGGTAACTATGGAGTAAATATGTAAGACTTTAATGTAAGAGTCACCAAAAGACAAATTACTGTTCAAACAAAAATAAAAACTTTGCAATTTTGAGTTTATGTAGAAGCAAACTGAATGAGAGCAATAATACTAAGCCTGGGGAAGTAAACAGAAGTAAGCTATTATTGAGCTTCCTATACTCTGTGTGAAGAAATATAATATTTAAACAAATACTGTGAAAAGTGAAAGATACACACTTTAAGACCGAAAGTAATCACTAAACTAAAAAAACAGAGCCACTGGCTAAAGACTATGTAATCTAAACAAAGAATCATAGCTAAAGTTATAGCAAAAAAAGAAAAGAAAATAGTAAAAAATAATCCAAAAGAAGTTGGGGGGGGGACAAATAATAGATGGGAAACAAAGAGCAAGACAGATGGTTTCTATCAGTAATTAGTTTAAGTATATAAGTAATCTAAACTCCCAATTAAAAGGCAACAAGTGTTGGGTTGCATTAAAAAAGAACTCAACTATATGTTGTGAGAAATTCACTTTAAATACAACATTAAGTACAGCAGTATCAGTAGATCAGAAGCATAAGGATAGAAAAATATTGAATGCTAGTCAAATGAAAGCTGGAATGATCGTGGATTTGGCACTGGCTTCTTAGATAAGACAGTAAAAGGATGAGCAACATCAACAAAAATAAATTGGACTTCATCAAAATTAAAAACTCGTGCATTAAAGGACATTATGAAGAAAGTCAAAAGACAACCTACAGAATGGGAGGAAGTATTTGTAGATCATGTATCTGATAAGGGTATGATATCCAGACTATAAAGAATTCCTACAACTCAACAACAAAAAGACAAACACAATTCAAAAATGAGCAAAGGATGTAACTAGACATTTCTCCAAAAAAGATGCACTAATGATATGAAAAGATGCTTGACATAACAGAGTTACTAGAGGCTGGGAAGTGTTGGGAGAAGGGAAAAGAATGGAGAACAATGGCTAACAAGGACAAGATACAGTTGGATAAGAGAAGGGTGGCTAGAAAATAATTAGGAATTGTTTAGGTCACAATGGCCTAAAGTAATGTTATTATCACATTTTTAATGGGAAATTTTCTTTGTTTATCTTTATTTGTTTTGGGGTGCTGCAGATCAAACATAAGGCATGCCAAGCACACTCTATATCACTCAACTACCTCTCTGATTCTCCCTCTCTTTTAAAAATGTTTATCTTTATATTATGACCATTTTCATTTACTATTCATAATGAAATGATTATTTTACTATTAATAATGAAATCACTATTAATGACAATGAAATGAAAAAATTAGTAAAATTTATTTCAAAATGTTAGTTGAAGGAGACTTTTACTCTCAGTGATTTGGAGTAAATTCTCAGGATATTTTATCAAGTTGCTGCATCATTTATAGTAAATGGCTTTATTTTGTTTTTCTTTAGTCCTAAATAACTATATTCCTACAACTAGAGGGGAATATATTTACTTTGTCCAAATGAATGCTTGCTTGCTTTTTCATGTTCATGTAAGTAGGTTTATTTTGCTTCTGAGTTAATCTGGACCTCCAAACAGCTGTAGAATTGTCTTGCATCAGTGTTCTTACTCTTCTTTTTTTTTTTGGTGGTGGTGCTGGCACTGGGGATTGGACCCAGGTGCCTTCACACTGAACTACACCCTCATCTCCTGTTTTTTTTTTATTTTGCAACAGAACCTCACGAAGTTGACCTGTCTGGACTTAAACTTTCAGTCCTCCTGCTTTAGCCTCCCAAAGTGTTAGGAATACAAGCGTATGCCACCATATCTGGCTTCTTACTTTAGATATGATATTACTGTATTACAATAAAATTTGTGAGGTAAAAAATGCTTTTTGTTGTTCCTTAACAAAATCCATTCATCTTTACTGAGTGGCTGTTGGCTCAAAAAAAATATTGTGACTTGACAGTGGTTCCAACAATTAAAATGCTGCCTTTGTTTTTGAAATTCCCATGGAGTGTTATTCTGTTTCCCTGGGTGGCCTTACTATAGTCTATTTTGGTAATATCTGTGTGTATATATATATATATATTCTTTGTCTTACTGGGCTATAATAGGAAATAAGTAGAATAGGAAATCTACTATTTTATCATTGAAAGCCTCCAAAACTTTCACACACAGAATCCTGACCTTACTAAATTTCTGATGTTTTTACTAGCAAATCTATTGTTAGAAACAAGACTAGCTAAACCAGGCTGGTGGCACATGCCTGTAATCCCAGCACTTTAGGAGGCTGAGGCAGGAGGATCACAAGTTTGAGCCCAGCCTGGTAAATTTAGGAATGTGATGAGAACTTGTGTCTAAATAATTAAATGAGGCTTGGGATCTAGCCTAGTGTGAATGCCTTGGGTTCAATCTCCAGTACTGCAAATAAACAAATAAATATAAATAAATTTTAAAAAGAGAGAGACTAGTAGGGAAAAATTGCACATATTCTGAAAGATATGTGTGCTGTATAAGAGAAATTCTTTAAAGCATAAATTATGAAAAAAAATTTTAAAAAAGAAAAGCTAGCCAGGCATGTTGGCATATGCTGGTAATCCAAGCACTCTGAAAGGCTGAGGCAGGAGGACTGAGAGTTTGAGTGGGAAATTTCACAACTTGGTGAGACGCTGTCCCAAAATAAAGAGTTTAAAGGGGGTCGGTGAGAAGGTCTTGGGCCACAGCACAGTGCAAAGGGCCTGGGTTCAATCCATAGTACTGAAAAATAAAAATACTTTTTAAAGAAAACTAACATCAATCAGGTTGTATTACAAGAATTACATTATACAAGATGAAAGAATGCTACTAACGTTAAAAAAGAATAGTCCCCACTACACATTGGGTATTGGAGGTACAGCAACAGGACTCCTATCTGGACCGCTGTATTCCATAAACTTCAAAAATACAGGAAATGTTAGGTCCTGAAAAACAAGCAGGTGTCAATTGTTGTTAATTTAATTTTAAAAAGAAGAATCACTATCACCTTAGACAAAGTTTTGAGATGTGCAATATCTTTCTGTTCCCTCCTGTGATTCCTCTTGCAGAAAAGTAGAACTGAGGGAGGAAGCAGGAGTCCTGAAATACTAGACCTTTGTTGCAACTCTGTCACAGACCAAGGCAGGTGGTCTGCTCCACATCAAGCCTGAGGCAGGTGGATCATGCATTTGATCACAGTTTTGGCAACGTGAAAAACTCACTGAGACCCTGTCTCTAAAATAAACAAAAAGAGGCAAGAGATGTACCTCAGCGTAAATGAGATAGGAGGTAGGGTGTGGTAAAGCTGGTTGAGGAAATAAGCAGGACCTATTAATTACAAGATTCCAGGACAGCACCAAATAATTCCAAGGACACCTTGTGTAATACTTCTCGTGGGTTCCCATGAGATGTGAACAACTGTAAAGGACACAGATGCCCGAGGACCCCACTATCAAGACTCTTCATGATGGCCCACCCTGGATCTCCATAGGTGGGGCTTTTTGGCGGTGGCTGGATCTAGGGTGTTTGATGCTGGAATCAAAGATGTGATGCTGGGATTGATCCATGGTGTGATGCTAGGATTAAGGGTGTAAGTGCTACCCAATCTTTGGATATAATATAAGGGACAGAAAGGGGGTTGTTTTTGTAGCTTGCTGGTTGCCATGAACTATGTCTCCTCTGTGATGCCCCTCTGCCATGCCACTCTGCCTTGGAGCCAAATGATTATGGACTGAAACCTCTACAAACTGTGAGCCAAAATGAAACTTTCTTCTTTTACCTTTGGGTGTCAGGTAGTTTGTCTTAGCAATGAGAAAAGTAATTAAGACACAAGGTATACTTTTATTTTTGCTTTTCTCTTTCCTCTTTTGTTTGCCCCAAATTTCTCTACAGAGCCAATTTCTCCCTTATTCCTTCACCCCTCACTTTTTTTTTTTTTGGTACCAGAACCACTGAGCTAAATCACCAGCCCACCTCACTTTTCAAATACACTTTTGTCACTGTTTTTGGCTTGTCTCATTCAATTCTTTGTTGAAGGGAAGAAGAACCTGAAATATATTTAATTGGAGAGCCATTTTTAAAGGAACTACCAGATAACACAAAGGTACTGGGTTCAATCCCCAGGATAAGAGTGGGGGGAGAGACAGAGATTAGTATCTTATGAAAGAAAAATGTCAAGGTCCCTGCATTATAGAGCTAAAGTCTTCCCCAAGTTCATAGTAACTTACTGAGGAACACTGGTGTGGAGGTACTAAAGTATATTTGACTCATGTAGGGGACCCAGTGGAAAATCTTGGTTGAGGGAAATGGAAAAATTCATGTTATTTGGACTTCTTTTCTTTTCACAAAGCCCACTTTGAGTGGTAACTGAGATCTAAATTTCTGGTGTGGTCTGTGGATAATTGCCTCAAGACTGGTGTGATGGCACACGGATATCTGGGAGGCTGATGCAGGAGGATCACAATTTGGAGGACAGCCTGTGCCACTCAGCGACTTAGTAAGACTGTATCTAAACCAATCAATGAATCAATGAAATAAAAAATCATCTCAGATACAAACTGTTATACTCGAAATATCACACTGTTGGAAATTGAGCATTTTACGAATTAACTCTTTTAATGTTCATCAAATCCTTTGAAGGAGTTATCTCTTTCTTCAGGGAGTAAGATAAAGGGCACAGAAAAGTAACTAATTTGAAGTCACATTAGTAAATGGCTAAGCCTCTTTAGAATCCAGGAGGTCTGGCAACACTACTTTGCCTATCAAGCATACTCACTATTCCAGGTCACCAGTCCAGTAACATTGTCATAGTCACAATCACAATCAAGCGATCCAGAGAGAACAGACAAAAATATACCCTGACAAAACTACAGGGTCAAAATGAGTCAAGTCCATACAATGTGACCATGGCCACACAAATGGTTACAAACCCACACACTCTCAAGTCACTGGACCTGTTTTTTGACTCTATAAATTCCAAATCTCAGATTCTATGGCAGAAATCACACACACACACACACACACACACACACACACTCACATAACAACAATCCCCCCACTCCACATTTTTTTTCGTTCTTGTGATATTGGTGATTGAACTAATGGGCCTTCACACTAAGCTATATCTGGAGCCTTTTTTGTTTTGAGGGAGGCCCTAGCTAGGTTGCTAAATTGTCCCGGCTGGGCTTTAATTTATCAGCCTCATCACTCCCGATACTCCTCCCTCTTATGAGTGCTGCCTGGATCTTGAGCCTCTGGCGTATACTAGTTCCCCCATCTTTACCGCGAACGAAATAGTTCAGGGTTGAACCTCGACCCGAGGGAACTAACTTGACTAAGTCGTGCTTTCCTCACGGACCAGACACCCTATCTCAGAAAAGCTGAAGCCACCGCTAATTGTAATAAGGAAGTGCCTTTTGCAGAAAATTGTCTTGGGCCGCGAAGGATTCTGGGAAGCGTAGTTCCCAGGAAGAAAGTGGCGACATACTCGGATTCTTCTCAGGACCAAGTCGCATTCCCAGGTTCTGCGCGCGGAGCTTGAGCGAGGCAGCTCGAGCAAAACCAGCGAGCGATTCTCCAGCGCAGAGGCGCGCGCCCTTAACCGCCGCCGTTGGCGTCCTCACAGCTCGCGCAGAGGAAGGCCAGTTTCACCCGGGTGAGCCGCAGGGTCCTCTGGGAAGTGTTGTCGGGCATCTAACGGATCGGCGCTTGTGCTGCCCTCGGCCATAGCTAGCACCGACCCCACCAGCGCCTTATCGAAGCCCGCTCGGGCTGTCCCACTTGGGCGGCGTTCGGGTGTGGAGTTGAGGCGTGTGTCCTCGGCTCCGTGGTGAGTCCTTGGGACTCTTTGTGCTGGGTGGAAGTGCGGTCGTCGCCGAGGCGGACGACGTCTATGCGGTGGTTTCCGAAGGCCGTGGGAGTGGCTCGTGAAGGACTGAGAGTCCGGCGTGAGGTGACTGGTATTCGCGCTTTCCCTTCTGTATTTCATTATGAACGAGGGTGCAGATGTGTGTGACTGCGCAATCGTTAAGTGAATGAGAAACTCCGTGGAAGGAAGGTAGGGTAGGGTTGCGTGTTAGATGCGTGAGACTGTTTGAACGAGTACTGCATTTCTTTCTTTATAGCACTTGAAAATATGTTTTTAACGTAAAACAGTTGCCCCAACCCTTGAACATTTATTTATTTTTAGGTTTATTTTCGTGTATTAGCAAGGTGTTTTGTGTACGCGTGAAATTTATTCTTCTTGTCCTAAACTCCACTCCTCAAATCGCTAAATACAGACAAGCTTAAAGAACAAAAAGCACTCATGGGCCAGGGATTTAGCTCAGTGGTTCCACTGCCTGCCTCGAAAGCGCAAGGACCCGAGTTCAATCCCCGGTACCAAAAAAAAAAAAAAAAGCACTCATAATCCTATCAACCATGCAACTACTGTCAAAATTTACAGTCCATCTTTTCACCCTTTCCTTTCTGAATATATTCATACATATATATGGTATTGTATGTATTACATATATATACAACATGTAACATACAGCATATGCAATATACAATACATGACGTATATGTAACAATATATAAAATATATAATATGTAACAAAGCCTATTAACTTGTTACATATACATTTTAAAACTGTAGTCACCACACCTATAATCCCAGCACACTGGGTGGAGGCAGGAGGGTTGTGAATTGCAGCCTAGCCTAAGCAATTTATCGACTTTAGGAGACCCAGTCCCAAAATAAGTGCTGAGGTTGGAGGTCAGTGTGGTGGTCCTGAGTTCAATCCTCAGTGCGCCCCCCTCCAAATTGCAGTCACACTGTGCATACAGTTCTGTAACCTACCTTTCTCATTTACCAATACGTGATTGATACCTTTACATTTAAACAATTACAAGTTCATGCCAGCATTTTAGTTTTTCATGTTACGCATTTTAATGCATCTATTCCTCTTGTATAATTTAGATCTTTTCAACTTCTTGCAATTATAAACAGTGTGCTTATCAGGAACTCTTTAGTACATATTAAACGCACTTTTCTATTTTTTCTGTTTTGGAGAGAGTAGAAGGCTACGGGTCAAAAAGTATATCTCTATTAAAGACTCCCTAAATTTATCTACTTATTCCCATTGCAAAGATCCAGTAATCTACAGTATTATTGGCATAGTATATGACTGCCTCTATCCATACATCCTTGATAACAATGGACATCATAAATAATGGTAATTTTGTTAACCTTATAACTATAAATTAACTTAATTTTCAATTATCGATTACTACTGAAGTCAGGCATTTTTTAAAATCTCATTTATGAATTATATATTTTCTAAAGTAGTGTTCTATTTTCAAATTTCTTTTCCAGAGTTCTTGTATTAAGGATCTATTCATTCATAGACTCACCATTTATTGAATGCTGTCTGTCTAACAGGCATGATTCTAGATGTTTGGGATTTAGCAGTAAACAAAAGACAACCCTCCTGCTATAATGGTACTTACATTGTTGTGGGCCAGATAATAAACAAGGTAAGCAAATTAAATATGTAATATATGAAATGAAATACATTAAATGGTGAAAAATACTAATAAAAAAGTAAAGTGGGAGGATATTTGAAATTACAGATAGGAGTTATAGTTTTAGGTAAGGTAGCTAGGGAAGTGTCTTAAAAAGGTAGTGACAAAGATACAGTGAAAGTAAAAGAGCCAGTTATGTATATAGTTGAGGAAAGGTTATTCCATGCTGAGGGAACAACATTTGTAAAGATTTTGAGGAGGCAGCGTGCCTGTTACAGTAAAGAGGCTGTAATGGCTCAATTAGAGAAAGTGAGGGGGAAGGATAATGGGAGATGATAGAAGTTCCTGATATGGTGGAAGGACTGTTGGGTTGTGACATTAGAGGAAGTAAGGTGGAGAGATAGAAGGACATTTTTGTCTTTGTTTTTAATGTTTTAAGATAGAACAATCCTTCCTACCACCATACTGGCTTTAGAAAACAAGATTCTTAGCTAGGCCCATTGTTTTAGGAAGGGTTACAAAATAGTGATAGTTGAATTGTCATTCCTTGTTAGATACAGTTTGAACAGGAAAAGAAGAATAAATGAATTATTTTCCTTTATAGAGCTTTAGGCTATTGAATTATTTCCATAGTATCTCTTAATGAGTTATTATTTTATTACCATTATATACCCATCAATTTTAACATACTTTGTGTGTCTAAAATTGTTACAGTTATTTTCTTTTTTGAAGATTGAGTTCCTCATCTTTGGCCACCCCTTCAAGATGGCTTCTAAATCATCCCCAGTAGTTTTATCCTGTTATGACAGAATTTCCTGAATCATTTTAAACATTTCCTTCCATACCCATGAAATCAGTGTTTCTGTATGGAGTCCTGATTCCTTTCAGTGGGAAATGCTTCTTTAAAACCACAATTATAGTGTCTATTACTATTAGCACTGTTTCTAGGAGGGTGTGTGTGTGTGTGTGTGTGTGTGTGTGTGTGTGTGTGTGTGCACGCGCGCATGCGCACAAAGCTAGGAAATATTTTTTAAAATTTTAACAGCTTAATTAAGATCTAATTTATATGCCATACATTTTACCCATTTAAAGAATAAAATTAATTCTTTTGGTGGTACTTGGAATTGAATCCAGAGTCTTTGCACTGAGCTTCATCCCTATCCCTTTTAAAATTTTTAATTTCTTTTTTGAGACAGGGTCTTGCTAAATCACTAAATTGCCCAATCTAGGTTGAAGTCTTGATCCTCCCACCTCATCCTCCCAGAGTGCTGAGATTACAGGTGTGTGCCACCACACCTGATATATAGTTCAGTTTTTACATAAAATATGTACATAAACTTGTGGAATTTTCACTCTGGTATAATTTTAAAGCATTTTTGTCCCTACTAAATGAAACATTGTACCCCTTAGTATTAATCCCATATTCTCTTCATTCCCAGCCTAATCAACTGCTAATCTGCTTTCTGTCTCTACATTTGGCTATTCTAGATGTTTCATATAAATGAAATTTTAATAACATACAGCCTTTTTGGACTGGCTTCCTTCACTTGGCATATTTTCAAGGTTCATTCATGTAGCAGGAAATATATTCTTAATAAAATAGGCATCATGAGCTCATACTGCTATTTCAGCTGTTAAAAATTTAGAATTACAGAGTTTTAACTTTGGTTCTATTTTTGTACCTTTTATTTGCTTATCTATCAATCCATAAATACATATATATATGTATTATATGTATGATAGTTTCACAACATCATTATCAGTACTCATAACTTTCTTAACTGAAAAAATTTAGTATTTTCTATAGATCTCTTTGTTGTATGTATCCCTCTAGGGAAGTACAGCTCAATTATTGTGCTTTAAAGTAACTAGAATTAATTTTTCTCTAAGCTATAAACTTGGTACATGATTAAATTTATTTATTTTGCCTGGTAGATGTAGCTTTCGTTTTATCATTTCAAGTGTTTTATAATTATGTAAAATATTTACATGGTTAGAAAGTTAAATATACAGAACAACATATATTAAAAGTATATATGAAACAAATACAGTATACAAAATAAAGAGAAATCTTGTGTTTATTTGTGTCTCTTCTACCTTGTTCTTTCTCTACTCCTATGAATACCTGTTTTTCTTGTTTGTTTTGTTTTTTTGCTATGTAGTTCAGATTGGCCTTGAACTCACTGTGTAGCTCAGGCTGGCCTCAAACTCATGACAGTCCTCCTGCCTCACCCTCCCAAGTGCTAGGATTATGGGTGTACACCACTACACCTGGTTTGAGTACCTGTTTTGCAAATTTGTTAGTCTTTTTGGTTTTTTTCTTTCCATTTTTAAATTTAACCATATATCTCTGAAATGTTAGCTTACTATCCATATTCTTTTTCATCTCACTTTTTCTAGTTCTTTCATCTTAAATACATTTTTGGAGGGGGGTTTGAGACAGGGTCTCCCTGTGTAGTTCAAGTTGGTCTCCAACTCTCACCAATTCTCCTGCCCCAGCCTCTTGATTTCTTAAATACATTTGAGGATTGGATTAAGTTGAGTAAATAATGATTGAAATTACATTACTTTTATTAATAATATTAGGAAAATAGGGATCTTTAGCATGCTGACTTTTCCTATTTTTAGGGATAGTATATTTTTATTTAGTTTACTTTTATGAACTTTAATGAAATGTGTAAGTCTTTTTGACTAGATTCTTACATAGTTTTTGTTTGCATTGTTCTTAGCATCTTAGATAGTAACTTTTGTGAATTGTGAATAGGTTAGGTAAAATGGCCCACATATCTCCTAGAGTGTTTAAGTTATCTTTCCCCTGGTGAAGCATTTGTGTGGCTATAACCTTTGACTGTCTCTCAGAGTTCTTGTGATGTTGTGTCCAACAGCTTTTGACAGATTTCCCTGTTTCTAGCCAAGGATAGACTCCCAGAATTCCTTACTCTTCCTGTTTTGCTTATGTTGCTCCTATCCCTTTTAAAATTTATTTCAATGTTTATGTTTAAAGTGTATTTCTTGTGGACATAGTTGGATCTTGTTTTCTCTGAAAATCCCTTTACTTGTGTTCAAATCACTTATAGTTAACATAATTTTTTTTTTGTACTGGGTATTGAATTCAGGGTCTTTACACTGAGCTTTGCCTCTAGCCCCTACACCCCCCCTTTTTTAATTTTTTTATTTTTTGGTACCAGGGATCAAACTCGGGTCCTTGTGCTTGTGCAGCAGGCGGTGAAACCACTGAGCTAAATCCCCCCCCACCACCACTTTTTAGATAATTTGTAGAGCAGTCCAGGCTGGACTTGAAATTGTGATCCTCCTGACTCAGTTTCCCAGAGCATTGGGATTATAGGCTTATGCCACTATGCCTGGTTGTAATTTTTTATGTAACTGGATTAATAGCTGTCATCTTCCTAATTGTTTTCAGTGTTCCATTTGCTCTTTTTTTTTTTCTCTTCCTTTGTCAGGTGTATTGTGGATTTTATATAATTCAATTTAATTGCCTATTTGATTGTATCATTTATACTTCTTTGAAAAAATTCTTAGTGTTATCCAAGAATTTTGTATATTTTAGATTTTAACTAATTTAAGTTTACTTTCCAAAAATGCTATGTTGCTTCATATATAATGCAGGACCCTTATAACTGAATGTTCTCAATTCCTCCCTCCCACACCTTGTGCCATTTCTGTCATTCATTTCACTTATCCATGTAGTTAATCAGCCAAGACATTTTATTACTATTGCTTTAGGCGAATATTATTTTAGATCAATTAAGAATAAAAGAACCAAAAAAGACTTTTACTTCTATCTTCATCATTCCTTTTCTGATACCTTCCTTTCTTTTTTTTATTAAATAACTTTATTATCAAACACACACATACAAAAACTTAAAACCACTCAAAGAAGAACAATGCAAGGGGAAAAAAACTACAATAATATTCAAATACATCCTTTCTTTATATAATGTTTTGACCTATGTCATTTTCTTTCTACCTGAAGAACTTTTTAATGTTTCTTGCACCATTGGTCTGCTTGATAAATTCTCTTAGGTTTTGTTTGTTTGAGAAAGTCTTTATTTCTTCTTCAATTTTAAAGGATAATTTCCCTAGATAGAAATTTCTAGGTTGGTAGGGTTTTTTTGTTTGACACTTAAATATTTCATCCCACTCTTCTTGCATTTATGATTTCTGATCAGAACTATTGTAATTCTTGTCCTTGTTGGTTTCGGGGGCGGGGGGGTTGGGGTTTTTTTGGTACCAGGGATCGAGCTTGTGTCCTTGCACTTGCTTAGCAGGCGGTGAAACCATTGAGCTAAAGCCTCGGCCCTATCCTTGTTGTTTTATAGGTATGACATTATTTTTCTCTGACTTCCTCAAGGATGTCTTTGTTTTTAGGTTCAATATGATATGCATGTGATTTTTGGGGGTATTTTTTCCACTTGGTGTCTTTGAGCTTCCTGGAACTATGGTTAGATGCTGGTCATCGATTTGTAACATTCATGGGTATAACTTAATATATTCTCTATTCTCACTCTCCTTTTGATATTCCAACTACAGGTGCATTATATGTTTTGATAGTATCCCATAGTTTGAATATTCTCCTCTGTTCTGTTTTTAATTCTTTTTTTAATAGTAGCAAAGTTTTATTAAAGGTAGGAAAAAAAAACAGGCTCTGCAGAGCAAGTTTGGGCCAAGTAAAAGTAGGAGAAGAAGTATACCCTACAGCACAAGGGCAGGCTGTCTGTGCAAGAGAGACAGGGAAGTGGCCTTCATTTTTTTCATTTAAAATTTTTTAAAAATTTTATTAGTATATGTTTGCAGTATATAATGATTACATTCATTGTAGGGAATTGGTACAGGCACATAACATCTCTTTTTTTCCCCTTCCTCCACTCTCCCTTTTTTCATTAGCATCAGATTTATTTATAAGTCATTATAAGGTTATCATATATACAGATTAACAACCAGACTAATAGGCCAAAAACATAAAACACATAAGACAATTATACTAAATCAAG